CATTAGCAGTCACTCTCCAGTCCCCTTTTCCTCCCAGGCCTGGGCAACCACTTTCTGTTTTTATGGACTTTGCATATTCTGGACATTTCATATAAATGGAATCATATATTATGTGACCATTTGTGTCTGGCTTCTTTCACATAATGTAATTTTTCAGTGTTCTTTCATATTGTGGCATGTGTCAGTACTTCTTTCCTTTTATGGCTGAATAATATTCCACTGTGTGGACATATCATTCTGTTTATCCATTTATCAGTTGATGGACAGCAGGGTTGCTTCTGTGTTTGGGGCTATTATGAATAGTGCTATAAACACTGGTGTGCAATTACGCTTGAGTTGTTTAGTTGCTAAGTTGTGTCCAACTGTTTTTGCTACCCCATGGACTGTAGTCCTCCAGGTTCCTCTGTCCATGGGATTTCCCAGGCAGGAATACTGGAACGGGTTGCTATCTTCCCAACCCAGGGATCAAACTGCATCTCCCACATTGGCCAGAGGATTCTTTACCACTGAGCCATCGGGGAAGCCAGTGTTTGAGTACCTGTTTTCAGTTATTTTGGATATATATCTAGGAGTGGAATTGCTGGGTCATATGGTAACTGTTTAACCTTTTGAGTAACTAGTGGGGTATTTGCCACAATGGCTGTACCATTTTATATTCCCTGTAACACTGCATAATAGTTCAATTTTTTCTTCAACCTCCCAAATGCTTATTTTCTATTAAAAAATTATAGCCATCCTAGTGGGCACCCATCCTCTTACGAGCCCACTCCAATTAGGTTTTCACCTAGCACTCAAGCTGAAATTGTCCTAAGATTATCAGTGACCCCTGTGTTGTGAAATCCTCATTTCTCTGATCTGATCTGACCTGTCAACATTTGTCTTAGCTGACCTCTCCTTAGAATGCTTTATTTACCTGACCTCCAGGACAGCACATTTGCTTGGTTTTCTTCCTATCTTACTGACTGCTCCCTCAGAAATTTTTTTCTGGTTTTTCTTTATCTCATTTCCTTCTCTTTATTCAAAAGTCATCTTCTCATGGAAGTCTTTCAGCCCCCATCCACGACCATCATACTCCTTTTCCCCCCGATTTATTTTTCCAAGTACCTGTCACTTTTTTTTTTTTCTTTTTCGTGCCTGTCACTTTCTAACCATAAGTAGTTTGCTTATTTTCTCTCTCCACTTTAACGTAAGCTCCATGAAGGCAGGAAGTTTGTCTGTTTTGTTCACTGATGTAATTCCAGAATCTAGAACATGAATGGCATATGGTGTGTGCTCAGAAAATGGTGAATGACTAAATGGCTGCATGAATGATGGCAGTGTGAACCTGGGCTACAAAGGGCTGGAGAGGAGGCAGATGAATGGACAGAATGATTGAGTGGCCGTGGGGAGGGAGGATGGAGTCAGACCTGATCCTCAGTGCTGAGTGAGTAGGTGGTTCACATCCTCTGCAAAACCGGATGGGAGGAACCTGAGTTCAGTTTGTGGCCAGAGATACTTGGGGTCTTTGGATGATGTCCAGGGGATGGATTAGTCAGGGCTGGAGATGTGGAGGAGAGTCTTAAAAGTCTGGAAATGTAGATAATACATCAGGTACCACAGTAGCAATGAACTGTTAGGTATTTACCTATGTCTCCATAGTAGGAGCTGAATCAGTATTTGGTAGATGAATAAATGAACTCTGTGAGATTTCGAAGGATGACCGATCCTATATATTGCCAGTATACACTTTCTAAGAATTCACCAAATGTCAGCTTATTTGCTCCCTGCTTCCTTTGTAAGGATATAAATGGTCATAATACATTTTTATGGTTTAGAGGACAGTCCCAGAGATAGTAAATTCTGGAATGCCCCATAAAAACATGTAACACTGAGCTTCTATATACCCAGAAAAGGCCACAAAACTCTTAATTAATCTCCTATGGAACTAAAGATAAGGTCAAGTTAGATCTTAATTTATAATCAGTTAAATGACTGCCTCAGGACTACTTTGTATATGCCGGCTGGGCAAGGGGATATAGTCCCTGATTTTGAAGACATGAAAGCCTCATGAATGCACAGGCCACCCCTTTTTCACTGCCCTGTAGGTACCTATTCTCACTACCCTCGCTCCTTGAACTTTTCCTGCCTATTTTCCCTTAGCATCACTTTTCTCCACCAGAGCAGCAAACTCTGCAAGGCTGTCAGCATCAGGAGGGCAGGGACCTTATTCACAACTATGGCCTTAGTACCAACATACAGGAGGTGCTAAGATGAATATTCAGATATCCAGCGTCTGAACTGTCTCCATCCTGTCTTTATTTTCAAAGAAATCAAACCTGTATCTGAAGGCAAAAATGCAATCAGTTGCTTCGCAGGAGGGAGGGCCCTCCTGCAGTCTCAGCAGTTGGTCTGGTTTAGGGATTTTCTTCAGCAACACTTGGCAGCCTAGGGTCAGATCCCCACTCCAGGCTGTCACCACAGCCCTTCTCACATGGTGCACTGTGCTCTGGTTATTTCTGGTTGTCTCTTGACACCACTGGCCAATGGTTCCTCAAGGACAAGGGCTTGTTTGAGTCTTTGAACCCCAGGGCTTAGCACACAGTCAGAGACTAGTAAATGTTTGTTGAAGTGAGTACATCAATGGATGGAAATTTAACAGGGGATAGGTAAGTATGGTTTAACGAGTTGGACTGGCAAGGCCAGCAGAAGAGGGATGTAGGGACACAAAAACAGCCATGAGGGCTGGAAACAGGCCCCAGGCTGGGTACAGAGGCAAGTGATGCCAACTCATGCCTGATAGTTGTGGGGCGATGCTCCTCCCAAGGCCAACTCCTCTACTGTCAACAACCTCGGCTATCCAGAGGCTCCCTTTTCACCTGCCTTCTCAGGAAACCTACACTATTGGTTCTCTCTTCCCCTGGGTATTCATCTCTTAGATCTTTCCTTTTGGCTTCTAAAAATGCTTTAGTATTTGTCATATTTTTTAAAAAAAATCCTTCCCCAATACACTTTATGTATCACCATTTTTTTCGATTTATCTGAAAAGCTCTCTATGCTGTTTCCATTCTCAGGGCAGTCTGGCTTTCATTCCTTATCATTCCAGGTCATCAGTAATTTGTAAGTCATTGAATTCCATGGCCTTTTTTCAGGCATCACACTTGACCTTCCAGCAGCATCTAACTCTGATGGCCACTCCCCTTCATTCTTTTCTCTTGGGTTAGGTAATACTGGTCTTCTGGTTTTTCACCTACTTTCTGGCTACTCCTTTTCTGCCTTTATAGATACATTCCCTTACCTGTTTGGCATCCTTAAGAGTTCTTTAAGGCTGGACTCTAGGTCTATTTCTGTTTTTTCCCTACTCTTTTCCCCTAAGTGATTAAATCCAGGCCCATGGCTTCAGTGATCACCTAAAAATAGATGAATTCCAAACTGGTATCTACAGTGCAAATCTCTCCTCTGAGCTCCAAGACCCGTATGTCCATCTGCCCCCATCTCCACTTCCCACCTGCCACTCACCCCTCACTATAACATGGTTTCTGCCTCACCAGTTCACACATAATTCAGTACTGCCAAATCCAATGAATACTGCATGTTTCTTGTCTTGCTTAATCTCCTCTCCCTGTGGCACGGGACACTGCCAGACATTCTTCTTGAAAATTCCCCTTCCTTTGTGTCAGCTGAGGACCAGTCTCTTTCAATCACCTTCAATGTCTCTTCCTCTTTACCTGCCTTTTGGGATTCTGGTTTCTAAAAGCTGAGTAAACATAAAGCAGTGACTTATTAAGTAAAGGCAAACTGACATCATAGTAGGAGAAACTGGCAAGACGGAAATGAAGCAGCAACTCAAGGATGTTGTCCAGACAAATTCTGGTTCTCATGGAACAAGAGTGGTGAACCATGATTTGGTCTTCTTTGTGGGCAAAATAAAAGCATGGTGCTAGTAAAGGCAGAAATAAATATCATTCATCTACTTTCAAAATTCCCAAAAGGTTAAATATCAAAAGTTTAATTTCCCAAAAGTAATAGCTATTTTGTAAAGTTAATAAACACACTTAGCTTCATACTTGAGTGATGTTGATATTTATTGACATCAATGCAAAACAAGCTAAGTTGCTATTTAACAGGAACAAATATTGATGCAGTTTCCTTCCTGGAGAGGGTAGGCACTCAGCTCATGAGACCTAAGGTCAAACAAAGACTGGATTGTTAAGAACCAATTAAGGGTTAAACTTTACAAATATAAAAATTGCTAAAGGCAAAAGGAGATGTTTTTAAAAAAAAATTTTTTACACTAATCTCACATAAGCAAACAAAGAACTAAACTGAAAGTGAAAGTTGCTGAGTTGTGTCCGACTCTTTGCAACCCCATGGACTACACAGTCCATGGAATTCTCCAGGCCAGAATACTGGAGTGGGTAGCGGTTCCCAAACTAATCCTAAAACTTTAGGACAAAACATATCGACATGACATGACTATTTAAATTTCTGCATAAGTGAAAATGTGTTATATCCTTCACTGTACTTGTATTACAATTACATGCTTCTTGCTTCTACACTACACAAAGTCAACATTTACCACCAACAATGACTATAACTAGATCTGAACGAGACTTCACAGTGACTCTGCTCCATTGAAATTTAAGAAAATTCAATCCAGGATTAACAAAACCTTTTGATTTTAAAGCCAGTTCTCCTATCTTCTTCTCGTGTCATACCTAAATAAGTCCTCTCATGACATTTCTTGCCTGCAAACTGCAATGCGTGTCCTCTCCCCCTCAGCTTTGTCTGACACTTTAAATTTGTAGGAACTGCATAAAAAATGAAAATTGTACTTCCAATCTGAACCTGCAATTGGGTTCCTGCTTTAACGCAAAACATACTCCTCTGCAGTGTACCCCACCAGCACAGCGACCCCCTTTCTCTCTCTCTCTATTCCTTTGCCCTGAAGGCACTTCTGGATTGCTTAATTCGTGCTCTTTGGCTGCCTAGACAGTCAGGACACCTAAGGCCATTTGGACCTATCACTCCTCGCTTCCTTCTTTTCTATGGCTAATACCACTTTCCTGCTTTTTTTCTAGAGCTGAATCTCCAGACTTGGTGCTGTCATCAGGGGGACAGAGTCGATTTCGGCTTCGAGCTCCTGGCTGGTAAAGCTGCATCGCTGGGCGATCCTAAAGTAAAATGAAATGCTCATGTTACAAAACTGCTACTAAGCATGTCCAGGGGATAATATATACCAGTGAGAGCCCACATGAGACCAAAATTTGAGGGCACAGTACATGACAGTAAGTGTTGATGGCTATTTGGCTTCAAACTCCCTGCTTCCTTTCCCCTACCTACAGAGAAAAACAACTATTTCACAACTATTTATTTTTATAAATAAAAAACAACTATTTATAAGCAATAGTTATAAAGTATTATTTTATATGCCCAGAGTAAATTTTGTTAAGTTTACTGCCTAATTTTACCATCTCAAGATGAACTGAATAAGCTTGAATAGTTTTTACTTAGAAACTGTGGTTGCTGTCTATCTCTCCTCCCCATCAGTAAATGGATTTTAAAATGTACCACCATCTAAGAAAATTTTAGGAGTGAAAACAATAATAAAGAATGCCAATTCTTAATAATGCAAAGTCCCTGAAGTTATGAGCTCAGACACTTGTAACTCAGCACAAATATGACTCTCTCTTAATTCAGATTTGACAAGGTGACAACCCAGCTTGAGACTCTCTAGGTAACACTTTAGATCTCAGGTTCCTAAATAAGCCTCAGTATCGTCACCAGGTACCTCTCAGTTCAAGTAATGTGTTTGGTTTATCACAATATGACCCTGGAAAAATTAAGTGTATAGGCCTTTTTTTCTAATTCAACAAAAGACAACATGAGCCTTCCCTGTCCTTTCTCCCCAACATATGAAACAGCCTTAAAGCATTATTCTCAAGTGAGTAATTCCAGCAAAACATTTCACTGTTTTAACAAGATGAAACGTTAAAACAGATGAGACTGCCACATAGTATTTAAAGAAATGGATGATGGAGCTCCCAGTGTGCAAAGATGGGACAAGTTAAACGTCAACAAGAGCAATAACTGATAATAACAAGTTGGAGTTCACCAAGTATTTCTAAATCCACAAGTTATTTAAAGACTAAGCAGAACAAAACTCACTGATAACCCCTACAAGTTGCTGGGACACCAACTCATTACTCTGAGTACTATAAATAAAGGGAATGGATCAAGTGCTGTTCTTGCCTTTCCTGTGTGAACTCAATTTCAAGACTAACCAAATAGCTGATAAGGGAAAACTCTGTGGAAGAATTTCAGATCATAAATGCAACAGGAAAGGCAGAATTTGTATATATATATCACCATTTTCCAATCTCTCCCTATGAAATAATGAACTAAACAATATCATTAGGAGAAAGGCTGATAAAAAATTCTATAATATATGGATCAGGCTTATAATACCTGAGCTAATTGATCAGCTATTTTTCCAACTTTTTCTCTCAAAAAAACTTAAATCTATAGAAATGTTGCCAAACTTGTACAGTGAATACCTAATACCCTTCTCCTAGATTCACAATGGCATATATGCCTTTTCTGTCTCTAGTGTGTATACAGGCACACACATATACAGATACATTATTATTTTTGCAGAACCACTGGAGAATGAGTGCAGACATCAAGACCCTTCATCACTAAATATTTCAGCTTGTGTATCCTCAGAGCAAGGACATCCTATCACATAACCATAGTACCATTACTACTGGTCAATCTTAACATCATAATAAATGGATACCAAGACATTGTATGCTTCCTGATACGATGCAATAGGAACTGCACAACACCTCCTATCAAGTATTCTTGCCAACAATTGAGTCTGAATATATTAAGGCCTCTAGATGAGGGGCCACCCACCTCTTTCTGTGAATAAAGTTTGACTGGCTCTCAGCCAAGCTTATTCTTTTACATGCTGTCTATGCCTACTTTCCTACAAAGCTTACTGGTTTTGACAGAGACCACATGGCCAGCCCACAAAAGCCTAAAATATTTACCATCTGGCCCTTGAAAGAAAAAAATTTTCTGACCCTGCTCTAGATATGACTACTGGTTTTCAAGGAAACATAGAAGGTAGAGGAACATGTTCAATGTTACCACAGGGATGTAATTAGCCACTCTGGACTATTAGACACTCTATAGGGCAAACTGGTTTCTGCAACAAAGAAATGGTAGGAAACAAGAGGAGGAGGAATTATTTAGATTAAAAGAGACTTAAGGGAATATTTCAAGCAAATACAATTTGTGGACTTTGTTTAGAGCCTATAAAAAAGATGTTAATGAAAAGAGATGTTAATGAGACAATTGGGAAAATCTGAACACTGGGTAGATAGGATGTTAAGGAGTTACTGTCAGAAATTCTTCTTCTGTCTGGTTATTTTATTAAGAAAAAGAATATTAGGGTTATTTTATTAAGAAAAAACCCTGGCAATCCAATGGTTAAGACTCCACACTTCCACGGTAGAGGGCACGGGTTTCATCCCTGGTTGGAGAACTAAGATCCCATATCCCATATGCCTCATAGTGTGACCAAACTTTTTTTTTTTAAGTCTTTACTCCTAATACTGACATATTTAAAGAAGAAATTATCTGTCTAGGTCTTGCTTGAAAATAATCCCATAGGAGTAAGACGGGGTAGAGTAGAAAGAAGATTGGCCATAAGGTGGTAATTGCCAAAGTTGGGTGATAAGTATATCCTACTACTCCTCTGTTCTATTTTTGTGTATGTTTGAAAAGTACACACAAACTCTAATAAAAGGACCCCACCAAGACTGAAAAAAGGTACAGATAAAGTTCCCCTAAAATTCTGTAACAATGAGCTAGCCCTCTCCTTTATACTTTCAGGAAAAGACAAAGAAAATCCTCATGAAAAGAAGTTAAATGAAATGCAGCACCTTGTTTCTTATGCGATCTCTCTTAACCACTTCTTCTTTCTTTTCCGTTTTTTCCGAGCTGCCTACTGGCTCTGTACTTTCAGGCTTCTTTCCTTTATCCCGAAGTGTTTCTTTTTCCTTCTTCATTTCTTCTTCCTTTCTCTTGAAAGCCTTCTCTTTCTCATAGCGCTCCTTCTGCCTGCGGCGCTCTTCCTCCTGCCGCCTCAGCCTCTCTCTCTCCCGCAGGATGCGCTCTTGGTCTCGTTCATAATCCCGCTCCCTCTCCCTGTATTCTCTACCACTCTCATCTTCAGGTCTGCACGAAAAACAAATCTGAGAATGCACCCTTGAAGCTCTTCTAATCACAAAGGCAGGAACACTCTGATCCTGCCTTGGCCACTACAATGAGGTTGAACTTTCGGAGCAGCATTAAAAAAAAAATAGTATTTTGAAAAGCAATTTGGAAAAAAAAACCCAAAAGTCATTCACCCAGATTAAGATACTAAAATACTTGAAACCTGTCCTCCTCATCCCCATACCCCTCATAAAAGCCAGTATCTTGATTCAGGTACAAGTCCAGAATGCATCAGTAAAACTAGCAGCCAGAAACAGGTAAAAAATGAACCCACGAGCCCTCGACTACTGACCTCTTAGGCTTTTCATCTTTAAATTCACCCTCAGGACGCTTGGGCAATGTACAACTTTGCCCGCTGGCTCTTTCATCACTCAGATTCTCTTTGTCCAATTTCTTGAGCTTTTCTCTTTTGTCCAAATCTTTTTCATCTCCTTTTTCTGGCTTCTTGAGCAGCTTTAAAGAGAACAAACTTAGGTTTATTTTGAAGGATGGGATATTGTCTTCTGATTCTCACAAAGAAAACAATATACTAAATATTTTCAATTTAGGCTACTGAAGGCCCCGTCTCTGCAGTACTCAAACTTTCAGGTGAACAAATAGTGCACAAAGAGCAGTAATTTGCTAAAAGGGTGCCATTAATGTGAAAGTGTTATGCACTCAAGTGAAGTGGTTTAATCACTTTCTGGCAATAGGATCAAGACTCCTTTGGCTTTAAATGGGTCAACCTTTGAGTAGACCAACGCATACTTTCAAGTATGCCTTCTGTATCAAGCCAGCATGTCGGTATAACTTGATAGGGAAATACGGTACAAATTTAAAATGCTAGCCAGGTCATTATTGCTGGACTATTTTTACAGTTATTAGAATAACAAATACCTTTTCACCAAAGGAGAGATCCATTGCAGGAATAATTTTGCCTTGAATCTGAGAGTAGCTACATACTTATGATGGTACAATCATATCATTAGAGATGAAAAGCAAGAATTATTTGGCATTTGACTTAAAAATCCAAATATCTCATACAACAGAACTGTGAAGTTCCATCTCTACTGAATAGGAACTCTGTTCAATGTCATATATATATATATATATATGACAGAATGCAATTCTAAAAAAAGTGGTTTATAAAGTTCAAATTGCTAACAGAAGTTTCTTTCTCATGCCACTTCTACAAATCTCTCTAGAATACACCCCCAAGTGTTGGATATTCAGAGAGATTTTTACGAATTTCAAGTCTCAGAGTGAAGGCATCATATAGAGTTTCATCTCAGTGTGAAGGCATCATACAAGCCACAAAGCTAAAGGCAAAGCACCATGCATGAGACTTAAGCATGAAGTATTTCAGCAAACAGATAGATACTGAAAACAGTGAGTCCAGAGTGGACACTATGAAGGCACCAGTGCAAAGTGAGGATAACATGTGCAGGTTTCATTGCAAGTGTTCTTATTTCTCTCATGAACATCTTCGTCAGGAGCCAAGATGTTCATTACTCTAATAAGAACATTAACGAATGTCTCTAGCGTAACAGGCTTGACCTTCTGCCTTGCTGACAGAAATAGCAAGTCAGGTTGCTTGTAGCAGGGCGGACACAGATCGATAGAAGGAATTAAGATGAGAACCTCCCCACCCTGCCACCGCCAAGCCCCTCATCACCGATGAGTCCTGGAGAGCCTCGGGGTGCCCTAGCGACTTGACCAGCTGAATTCTGAGGAGGTAAAAGGAGACTCTGCCATCATCTCTGTGAGATTTTCTCTGACTTTCTCTGCCATACTATGTACAAGTACTTCCCTGGGCAGTTCGCTGGAGCAAGGACTGCCCAAGCCAGGCCCCTGGAAGGGAAGCAGCTAGGTTGGGGTTTTTCCACAGGTTTTCCTCTTCCTACATGCAGTGTGTTAATCAGAATCTGCTGCTCACAGATTCCCAGGTAGACACAAGAAGGTTAACGTCGGGAATCATGTGAGAGGGGAGAGGATGTATATTCCGAATACTCCCACAAGGCAGCCAGGTATGAGAGGTGTATAAAGGAAGAGGAAAGAAAGAGCTCTTAAGGCATGGCTGTCCTCTCGCTGCACATTGTTGAAGCTTCTGGGTACAGAGCAGAGCATCAGGAAATCATCTGGGTTTTTTCTAAAGCACGAATTTAAAACGGTTCAGCTTTTAAGACTCAAGTCAGTCTGAGGGCATTTTCTACAGGTAACACTACCACCACCACCAAAAGGACTTATTAACTAAGACCTGTGTGTGTGTGACATGATACTAGGTGCTCTGTATCATGTACTTGGTCCTTACATTTTTCTGATTCACAGCTTGTAACAGAAACCTGTGTACCTGAAGACAGTGGAAAACAAACAGATGAGGCAACTTCATGTATCAAATATGAAGGAAAAGCTAAATAAAACCCGTAATTCATGCCAGCCAGCCCTAAGCCCTTATATATGAAGAACTGAGAGAATAATAATCCAAACTTGAACATTTTCAATGATTATAAATAACACTGCACTTTAGAAATCCCATGTAAACTACTTAATCTTTTAAATTATCTTAAATTAAGAGTAATACATGAATATTATAGGAAAGATTCACTCCCTCCCAAAAAAGACAAAAACTAAAACACAGTTTACACCAATACAAGATGCATGCATATTTGAAGAAGTAGATAATAGAACATGCAATTTTCAGCAACATGCAGTCAGTTTAACTTATGTTCATACCTTAATCTTTGGTTCATCCTTTAATTTGTCCCTTTCTGGAACTCTGTCTATCTTCTTTAGCTTTTCTATATCTTTCCGTTTTCGTTTCTCTTCTTCTTTCCACTTCCTCCTCTCTTCTTCTCTTTGTCTTTTTCTTTCTATTTCTCGCCGCCTCCTTTCTTCTCTCTTTTCTTCTCTCATCCTCTGCAAAGAAACATCAACAAAACCTTCAGACAAGATAATTACCACCAAAAACATAGTTCAGAAAGTATGGCGGGCACCCACTTAACTATATCATCTTTCCTTCCCACTTTCCACTTCCTTAACCCCCTCCCCACTCCATTCAGAATATGAGAGAGAAAAACCACAGCCTGCTCATATCAGTCTCCCACTGCTGCCTTGCTACAGTACCCAGAGGCTTTCAGGAAATCAAGAGTGCCTTTGGAACAAGCTAAGGACCCCCTAGTTCTGCAGAGTGAATCTATGGTCCAACAACCAGAGTGAAGTAGGAGGCCAGAGAGTGAGGCCAATGAGCCAAATCTTTAAAGAACAGTGGTAGAGAAAGCAGCTATCTCTACTGTACGATCCCAATGCTCTTAAATTTACAGAATGCGAACCAATGAAATAGAAGTATTGTGAGAACTAGAAAAACAAAAGGTTTACCTGCTTGTTTTTCAGGAAGCTCAAAAGTGGAGTTGTCTTTTTAGCTACACAAATGTAAACAGATTATTAATAATACTTAATCGAACCCTAGAAAGGATTCCATTTTCTGACATTCCCTGCCAACCACCCGAGGTGGGAAAACTATACCCCTCAAACAGTAAGTTCACAACTATCTTACTGGAAAGAAGTTTTACAATATTATACTTCAATTCTGGAGGTTTAAAATATTAAAAGTTAAGAAATTTAAATTAAAACTATAAAACAATTTCTAAAAAGAGCAATTCCCGGTGTCAATAAGAATAAAGTGCAAAGGACATTCTCTTGTTTTACAGATGGGAGTATAAATCTGTTCAACCAGGAAGAAACTAGGATAAGGGGCTAAAAATATCTAATACTTTTGACCCCATAATTCTACTTCTGGGAATTTATTCTATGGAAACTATCAGAGGTGGGCTTATACTATGAAAGTGAAAGTTGCTCAGTTGTGTCTGACTCTTTGCAACCCCATGGACTATATAGTCCATGGAATTCTCCAGGCCAGAATACTGGAGTGGGTAGCCATTCCCCCCTCCAGGGCATCTTCCCAACCCAGGGATCAACCCCAGGTCTCCCGCATTGCAGGTGGATTATTTACCAGCTGAGCCACCAGGGGAGCATCCATTAATAAAAACCAAGTTTTAAAAGAATATTTAATTCTTTTTTCAATATTCTGAACAATGCTATCTAATCATATAGCTAGCTTTTTGCAAAGCATACTTCCTTTGGAGAAATTCCTAGGAGTGGAAATCCTGAGCAGGTTGGAGGCTATGTTTATGTTTAGAGCTGATACAGTAGTGACAACTTACTACCAAAACCAACATCTAAGCTAGAATTTCTCAAGAGGTTTTTCAATTGTGCAGTAACCAATTTCATTTTTTTAATATTTTCAAGTCAAATTTTTTTTTACGAGTATGAACTTATTAGTAGAAAATACCAACTGATCTTCAAAGACTCATTAACATCTTAAGGTCCCATATAGCTCTTCAAATTTTTATACATGGCACTAAATAAGTCAGAGGGGGCTTCTCAGGTGGCTCTACTGGTAAAGAACCCGCCTGCCAATTCAAGAGATGTAAGAGACCTGGGTTCTATCCCTGGGTGGGGAAGATCCCCTGAAGGGCATTGCAACCCACTCCAGTATTCTTGCCTGGAGAATCCCATGGACAGAGGAGCCTGGCAGGCTATAGTCCATGTGGTCTCAAAGAGTTGGGACACGACTGAAGTGACTCAGCATGCATGCAAATAAGTCAGAGAATATTTCCCATCTTATCGATGAATTCTCATAATCCTGTGAGTCAGCTATTATCTGAATGAACAGAGTCTCAGAGAAGTTAGTGCCTTTCCTATGGTCACATAGCTAGCAAATGAAGCAGGAGTCTGACAGGTCTTCTGATGAAAAAACTATAACACTTAATTCCTTTTGCCCACTTACCTATTAGTTCTCTATTTTTTGCTTCTATTTCCTCTAGCAGTGTCTCTGGAGTAGATGTCATTTTCTCATTATCTGCAGCATAGCTCTCCAAAAATTTTCTATATTCTGGATCTAAATAATTATTTAAGTAAATAGAAAATACAGCAGACTTTAAACAAAATAAATATTATCCAGGATATTTACTTATCAAAGAAGATAATTTTCTACTTCATGGAAGATTGAAAATAAACCCAACTATACCCATAAGATAGACTATTTGGGGCTTTACTGGTCACTTACTCTGAGAACTCCTATTAGATATACTGACAGAGTCAGGCAAAGTGAGACACCATGCATTGTAACACAACCTCCAGGGATGTTAAGTAGTTTGCTTTTAAAAACCACCACTCCTATTAATCCAGAGTCATACTTAAATGGGAGAACTGCAAGCTATAGCTATGAAACCCTCAGAGAGTATCATGTAGAGCATGTAAGCAGTTCCTGCATGGGTACACCTCACTTTAATGAAACTCAGAATACGAAAATCGGGTGTTCTAAACAGATAAATGAGGGGGAATGTCCTAGATGTGGCACTAGAAGTGATGGTAATATCTGGAATTCTTTCCTAGATGCCTCCGACATCAGAAAGGGTAGCACATTTGAGTCACTATATTGTATGTGGAGAATGCACTGTGGAGCATGTCACCTGATCTAGTCTTCAACATCTGAATCTATGATATAGTCAATAAGCAGCTGTGTGTTGAGTCTTGTCTGTGTTTTCTTTATAAAATACACATTATAGTAATAAATAATAATGGAAACCAAACTAGGTGATTCTGAAATACCAATCTGATATAAAATATTGTGGCTAAGTCCTTAACCAACACAACCACATTACAGAGATCTCAAAACCTGGATCCAGTTTACCATGAATGGCAATTATTTGTTTTTTAGTTCCAGTATTTCAGTTCAATGTAATTACTATGTGTGCAGTTAACTGCATACTCAAAGCCTAGAAACAGGATTGACCACTTCAGTTACTTTATGTTGTTACTCAAGTACAGAAGTTTTTCCAACATAGTTCTCAATGATAACTCTTCCTCTTTATATAAATGTAAACCAAAAGTCAAATAAATAATCATAAAAATGGTAAGGGGCCTTAAGGAGTTGTACTTTGAAACATCTGACTTTTTCCATTGTCTTCTAATGAAAATACCTGTCTTCTAATGAAATATAAGGTGATTTACTACTCAATAGTCAACAATATATTGCTTAATTGTGAAGGAATGAAAAGCCATTAGCCAAAGAGAGTGAGAACTAGAGGAAACCCATCTCCATTCTAACAAGCAAAGCTTTCATCAGTGAATTACATTTCTCATGAACTTGTTTGCTTTTTTTTCATATATTTTCTTAATTTAAAAGATTGGAGTCCACTCAATTCCCACAAAGGTAATATATTCTTTTAAAAATCTATGGCCCTACTATATAGCACAGGGAACTCTATTCAGTATTTGGTAATAATCCATATGGGAAAAGAATCTGAAAAAGAATAGATATATGTATAACTGAATCACTTTAACACAACATTGTAAATCAATTATTAATCAAAGATTAAATTAAAAAAATACATGGCATTAGCGCATTAAGTAACTAGAGCTATACTATACCATCATCGATAGTCCCAACTTTAGTATCTCTTTTCTTAGTCTTCTTTTTTGCAGCTTTTTGAAAAGGTGCAAATTCTACGATGGCAGGATATTCCTGACCTGTTTAGAAAAAATAGCACACTTGCTAAAAGAAAGAAAATGTCAAAAATGGATACAAGAGACTCAACCCCCTGCTCTCTAGGCTTCCTTTGATGACAGTGATCTGAATAGGGTCTCCCAAAAGGCATAAATCTCATTGGCACAACTAAAATCAACATGTTACCAAAGCAGTCCCCAATTCATACCAAAAAAATAACAAAAAGATATGGGAGGGAATTAAACTATTCATTTAAATTCCACCTCTAAACTCTGATATTGTGATATGTTGGTGAGGGGGGGGAATCTACAAACTAATTTTCATTTAAAAAATATATTAAAGGGAATCCTTGGTGGTCCAGTGCTTAACACTTGGCACTTTCACTTCAGGGGCCCAGATTGGATTCCTGGTGGGGGAAATAAGATACTGCAAGCTGCATGGCACAGCCAAAAAGCAAACAAACAAAAAACAAAACAAGATCATAATACTGACTATACAGGGGTATAAATATGTCAAAGGTCACCAAATGCACATGTAAAATGGATGCATTTTAAAATGAAAATTATACCTTAATTGATTTTTTTACAAAACCAGAAAAGGCTAGAGATAGAAGGTAGGTTAGTGCTTGTCTAGAGATGGGGTGTAACAACTAATGGGTACCTGGTTTCTACTTAGTTTGATGAATGTGTTCTAAAATTAGATTGCGGTGATAGCTGCACAACTTTGTGAATACACTAAAAAATGATGAACTGCAATTCTTTAAAAGGGTGAATTTTATGGCCCATGCATTATCTCAGTAAAGCTATTATTAAAAAATACAGCAGGAGACACCAAAAGCACAGGCAACAAAAGCGAAAAACAGATAAACTGTGCTGCATCAAAATCAAGAACTTCTGTGCATCTAGGGACACAATCAACAGAGTGAAAAGGAAGCCTACAGAACTGGAGAAAATATTTTCAAATCATATATCTGATAAGGGGTCAATATACAGAATATGTAAAGAACTGTAACTCAACAACAACAAAAAAAACCCCAAATAATCTGATTTTAAAATGTTCAAAGGACTTGAATAGGCATTTGTCCAGAGATGATATATAAATGGCCAATAAGCAAATGAAAAGATGCTATGTGCTCAAGAATGTGAAGAGATTAAAATATTACCTCACTAATCATTAGGGAAATGCAAATCAAAACCACAATGCAATATCACCTTATACCTGTCAGAATGATTACTATTAAAGGGGGAAAAAAACAGAAAATACCAAGTGTTGGCAAGGACATGGAGAAATTAGAACCCTCAGGCATTACTAGTGGGAATATAAAATAGTGCAGCCACTATGGCGAACAGTATGGTGATTCCTCAAAAAATTAATGAATATAGGATTCTTTTTGAAGTGATGAAAACATTCTGGAATTACACAGTGGTGATAGTTATAAAACTCTGTGAATATACTAAAAACCACTGAATTTTATGGGATGAGTTATATCTCAATAATAATTTTTTTAAAAACCTAAGTGACTACTGGAAAAATACATCAAATCCTTGCTATAGAATAATGTCATATAAGGTATAAAAGACGATCTTCACATCTTTGGTGTGTAAACATAAGCCAGGATGAATTACTAGAACTGACCATTAGGTATCACAAAGCAGTCACAGAGGAAACAAGATTTTAGAAATCCTAGTGAATGCAGAATCATATTACCTTAATAACTGATATACCTGAAAAGGAATAGATAAACCAGACTGAAGGAAATTGTGGAATACAGGCAAAAGAAAAAAAAGTTAGAAGCGAGGCCAAACAATGGGGGATGCTGTCTACCTGACTAAGGAATTTGGACTTTTTTTCCACAACTGCTGTCTTAAGTCACTATTTTCAAAAAGATTATTTTCATGGCAAAGTAAGATTAAATTATACAGAAAATAGAAAATTCTAAAAAAAAATTCTATAAGTTTAGAGAGAGTGGTTGTCTAAGCATTAGGTGATGACGACGTGTGAAAGTATCAGTAAGTCTAACATCCTCAGTCTAGATGAACAAGATATTAAAAAGCAATAAATTGACAAAATCCATCACTTGTTTAAATGTAAGGGATAAAGAGAGGAAAAAGTTAAACACAACTCAGATTTTCAGGAAATCACTTGCTATCTACTGAAATAAACTTGTGGAGCAGAAAAGTAGCTGGTTTGGGGGGATTAATAAAAACTGGACAAACATAGTAGCAATTCTTCAACTTTTACTGGCATATTCCCTGAAAAAGATTTCATTTTTACCAACTCTGAAGTAATACTGAAAAAATATAATCTAACAAAAACACACATCATTCAATATTGCAAAGCCAAAAGAAAAGCAGCAAACAGCTTGGACATTCTCTGGCTAAATGTTGCAAGCAACAGATAATAAAATGAGGATTAATGCAGAAGTTTTTCTTCCCTATAAACTCCTGGATAGGAAGTGGGAAATCATCAAGCTCAATGGTTTAATTACATACAACTTAGAATGTTAAACAGTACTCCAACTGGCAACTATTGACATAAAGGATCTGAATTAAATAAGTATTGGTCCTTGAAGCAAGATGAGATGTAAATATTTAAAACTTGTCATACAAGTTTAAAGAGTCACTTGTCAGTATCACTTAAAACTAGTAAATACTCAAGACAATGGATCACCTAAAACAGGGCAAAAGAACTGTCACAGGAGGAGAAAACAGTGGCAATTTCCTTCGGTTGACAAACTACAGAAATAATAGGTTAATACAAATACCTGTAAAAAAGTCATATTATCTATTTATAAGGTTGTCATAAGCTAATCAAATGCATAAAACTCTTTAAATGTTGCTCATCTTAGTACTCAGGATTTTAGAAACACTATGAAGGCACCAAGAGAACAGGGATACATTGTCTTAAACATACAAATGACAAACTCCCCTTCAGTTAAAAGGACTCACCTTTATTGTCAAGGAATACATAACCATCAAAACGATCCCTGAACAAAATAATGTCCTCTTGGTTTTTAAAGTTGATGTATGCTCTTGCATACATATGAGGATACAAACTGCAGGGAGGAAAGCAATTATGTGAATGTGCTTGCAGGTGTCTGGCTGAATTACAAGTATGCATATATTAAAAAGATAGGCTCAAAAATCAAATAGAAATCATGAGTAGGATTAAAAAAAAGAATGGAAGAAACCTTTTTCATTTACCCCTCCCTCTTATTTTACCTAGTATCATTAGAAAAAAACTCAAAATAATCATGCTCAGGCATAGGCTGAAGATGTTCCTGAAGCTGCTCCTTGGTCAAAGTGGGCGGTAATCTCCGAATTACCACCTTAAGAAATGAATAAGGAAAATAAAATTAGTACAAATCAATTTTCTGTCATACCTGAATCACTGTCCCTGAAGAAAGTTGGCCTTTAAAAGATGAGATCACTTCTAAAAACCCAAGAGAATGTTCAGAACGCTCAGAATGATTAGTCAAACATAACAGTAACATAGTTAAAAAAAAAAAAAAACTCTCAGAAACGAGAACTGCCTGGAGCAAGGAAATCTTAGGTTCTGTTAACCCGAAGCCCCACAGTTTACTGTTTTCGCCTCATTTTCTGTCACCCATTTTTCAGTAGTGCTAAGAAATTAGTAAACCAACCCTGGTCTTTTGTGGGTGCCAGGAATTCTTGATTGATAAAGTCCTTATTCAGTCAGCATAAAGAATTCAAAATTCTAAGAAATACCCCCAATTTCCTCATTGCTCCCCGAACAGAATGTACCCGATCTGGCCCCAAGACCAATAATAGCCGCCACCCACCCGTTCCCTCAACTAACCTCTGTTAATATTCCTATCACGTACTACTCCTGCTGGTGATAGCACCTTCCTATTTAATAATTCCCCCTCAATTCCTCATCCTTTTCGCTATCGCCCCCCCTCCCATCATCATCTCACGGCTCTGACCTAAACCCTTCTAGTCAGGGAATCCCCCCGCCCTCTCTCACTCCCATCCCGGGACTCGGCCGGGAAGGGGACCCCCATTTTGGGCGAGTGGATGAGACAGGGTGATGCTATTTTCACTCAAGTGAAGAAACAGAGGAAGAGATTGGGAGAGGAAGGACAGCCCCATTCCCAACCATCTTTCTCGGGTGGTGGAACCGTCCCGCCCTCTCCTGGGCCAACAGCCGGTCAGACACCTTGCTCAACGCCTCTTTCTTCTCCTTGTTCCGATCCTGCTTATCTTCCCCTTTGGTGCTGTCTCCCGAAGCCCCACCGCCGCTGCCTGTAGCACCTGGGGGAGTCAAGAGGGTTACTCGCTTCTCCTTAGGCCTATGCTCCTTCTCCTCCTTCATGGCCACAGCTTCGCTCCGCACCGCGGTAGCTCGGCCTAAGCGCCGTTACGCCGGGTACCTACGACTCCCGGCCCGCTCGGGGCAGAGCTCCGCCCCCAACAAGCTCTCCTAGTGATAAGCCGACCCCAACGCTCCATTGGGCCCCACCAGGATCTCGCGAGACTTTAGGGCATCCGGCTTCCTTCGCTGGAAAGGTTGTAACACCTGGTCTTAGATTCCCGCCCGCGGAATCCCCGCATTGCCCAATCCCCTCGCGGCCCAGACTCCCTCGGGGCAGTTCATTAGCATATCCGCCATCTTGGTTAGGACGAGTAGTTCACGGACTACAAATCCCGGCATCCAAAGCGGTTACCCGCTTCTGCCTGAGTTCTGGAGTCGTAGTATTTCAGGGTGTCTGTAAGTAAATTGACTCTTTAATCTTGAAAGGTTAATGTTTTTCAGATCAAAAAATACATTCTGCGGGCTTCGTTTTCCAGAGATAAAACCGATGTTATCCAAAGTTTACCTCACTAGGGGAACGACTTGTATTTTCTATTATTGGTAGTAAAGTGAGCTTTCAGAACCTTTAGAATTTCTTTTCCTTATATTTTTTAGGATTCACAGATATTTAATAAATATGCACAAAACACTGACATTTAAAGGAGCATTATGACCAAAATGTGTGAGATTTGTTTTCACCACTCTTTTTAAAAGTAATAGGAATCTATCATGGTACTGATGCTCTGTAGGTAGGAGAAAATAAAATCCAACTCACTTTAGATAGGATTGACCTCCTTCCCGCTTTTAAAAAGGCCAGTTATGCATTATTTATAATAGCTCCAAACTGGAACAACCCAAATGTCTGTCAGCCCACTAATGCATAAACAAAATATGGCACATCCATAGAATGAAATACTACTTAATTAAAAATGAACCCGTATGTCCATCCACATGAATGAATCTCAAAATGATCATGCTGAGTGAAAGAAACAGAACACAAAGAGTACATGCTGTATGATCTCATTGATACGAAATTACAGATAAGGTTTTTAAAACTAGTAAGAGAAAATTCTGAAAGAGATGGGAATACCAGACCACCTGACCTGCCTCTTGAGAAATCTATATGCAGGTCAGGAAGCAACAATCAGAACTGGACATGGAACAACAGACTGGTTCCAAATCGGGAAAGGAGTAGTCAAGGCTGTATATTGTCACCCTGCTTATTTAACTTATATGCTGAGTACATCATGATAAACGCTGGGCTGGATGAAGCACAAGCTGGAATCAAGACTGCTGGCAGAAATATCAATAACCTCAGATATGCAGATGACACCACCCTTATGCCAGAAAGTAAAGAAAGAGCCTCTTGATGAAAGTGAAAGAGGAGAGTGAAAAAGTTGGCTTAAAACTCAACATTCAGAAAACTAAGGTCATGGCATCTGGTCCCATCACTTCATGGCAAGTAGATGGGGAAACAGTGGAAACAGTGGCAGACTATTTTTTTGGGCTCCAAAATCACTGCAGATGGTGACTACAGCCATGAAATTAAAAGACGCTTGCCCCCCCCCAAAAAAAAAGACGCTAGCCCCTTGGAAGAAAAGCTATGACCACCCTAGACAGCATATTAAAAACATTACTTTGCCCACAAAGGTCCATCTAGTCAAAGCTATGGTTTTTTTCAGTAGTCATGTGTGGATGTGAGAGTTAGACTATACAGAAGGCTGAGCTCCGAAGAATTGATGCTTTTGAACTGTGGTGTTGGAGAAGACTCTAGAGAGTCCCTTAGACTGCAAAGAGATCAGACCAGTCAATCCTAAAGGAAATCAGTCCTGAATACTCATTGGAAGGACTGATGCTGAAGCTGAAACTCCAATACTTTGGCCACCTGATATGAAGAACTGACTCACTGGAAAAGACCCTGATGCTGGGAAAGATTGAAGGTGGGAGGAGACGGGGACGGCAGAGGATGAGATGGTTGGATAGCATCACCGACTCAATGGACATAAGTTTGAGTAAACTCTGGGAGTTGGTGATGGACAGGGAGGCCTGGTGGTGCTGCAGTTCATGAGGTCGAAAAGAGTGGGACACGACTGAGCGACTGAACTGAACTGAGTGAGAGAAGGGCTTCCCAGGTGGCGCTAGTGGTAAAGAACCTGCCTGTCAATGCAGGAGATGCAAGAGATGGGGTTCAATCCCTGGTTTGGGAAGATCCCCTGGAGGAGGGCATGGCAACCCACTCCAGTATTCTTGCCTGGAGAATTCCTTGTACAGAGGAGCCTGGCAGGCTACAGTCCATGGGGTTGGAGAGTCCTGACTCTACTGAAGCCATTTTAGCATGCGCACAAGCAGATCAGTGATTGCCAGGGGCAGGGTTGGGGAGAAGGGACAGACTGCAAAGGGGCTTCAGGAAACATTTTGGAATAATAAAAAAATATATTTTTTATCATGATTGTGGTGGTTGCATTTGTGTAAACTCATTGAATTGTATACAAAATTGGCAAATGTTATTTTATGTAAATTATTTTTCAAAGATCAGCCCCTGAAATGAAAAGAAATGCAAAATTTGAAAAATATTGCTCTGCAAAAGTCCCAGAAGGCTCCTTAGGAGAACGGAGTGGAAGACCCATGTGTCTCCTTCTCCAAGCCCAAGAAAAAGAAATCTTTTTCCATAGAGGAGCTGGTTAGTAGTGATCTTGAAGAGACAGCTGGCAGTGGAAGTCTTTCCAAGAGGAAGAACTCTCCCCAAAGAGGAACCAGTCAGTGACCCTGAAGAGTCAGGAAACAAGAGGGTCCCCAAGAAAAAGAGGAAATTCTCTTTCAAGGAGGAACCACTCAACCATGGACTTGAAGAGGCTGCTGTCAGCAAGAGCAACAGCTCCAAGAAAAAGCTCCAAAAAGCTATTCCAGGAAGATTATTAATAGAATGGACATTTCCCTGGTGAGGAATAATTTGCAGACCCCTATACACAGTAAGTGCCTGTTGGCCATCCATTTAAAATATAGCAGTGGGTACATGTTCGTCCCAAACTCCCTAACTAACTCTTCTTCCTCACCCTTCCCCTGCCCCAACCACAAGTTCATTCTCCATAAGACTTTTTTATTTTTTCTGCATTTTAACACCTCTGAAACCAAGATGCATCTTAAAATGGATGGTATGACATATTTCAATTGGTAGCATTTTTTTCTTTTTTTGGTATATAAAATAATGGTTTTAGATTCAATGGTATCTTAGCTTTGATGAAATACAAATGCTCTATCACTTAGAGCAATACTTCTCCTTTTTTTCCTTTTTATTGGGATATGCATGCATGATAAGTCGCTTCAGTCGTGTCTGACTCTGTGCGATCCCACAGACAGCAGCCCACCAGGCTCCTCGGTCCACAGGATTCTCCACTAGCCCACTCCAGTATTCTTGCCTAGAGAATCCTGCGGACCGAGGAGGTGTGAAAATGTGAAAAAAAAAAGTCTTATGGAGAATGAACTTTCGGTTGGGGCAGGAGAAGGGTGAGGAAGAAGAGTTAGTTAGGGAGTTTGGGACGAACATGTACCCACGGCTATATTTTAAATGGATGACCAACAGGCACCTAGTGTGTAGCACAGGGAACTTGCTCAATGTTATGTGGCAGCCTGGATAGGAGGGGAGTTTGGGGGACAGTGTGTGCTCAGTTGCTTCAGTTGTATCCGACCCTTTGTGACCCTATGGAGGAGCCCACCAGGCTCCTCTGTCCATTTAGTTCTTCACCCAAGAATACTGGAGTGGGTTGCCATTTCCTTCTTCAGAGGATCTTCCCAGCTCAGGGATCAAACCGGCATCTCCTGCGTTGGCAGGCAGGCTCTTTACCACTAGCACCACCTGGAAAGCCCCTGGGGGAGAGTGAATACATGTATACACATGGCTGAAGAGCTCTGCTGTGAGCCTGAAACTATCACAATATTGTTAATCAGCTATACTCCAATATACAATAAAAAGTTTTAAAATGTGAAAAAAAAGTCTTAGCATGAATTGAACATATTATATCTATATTATGTGCCATTAAGGTAAAAAGAGGTAAAATGGGAGAGGAGGGCAAATGATAAGCCAGAGAGAGAGACAGACACCCACAGCAGGCAGGAATCAAATTAAGGATGTAATAGAAACACAAGGCAGAAAGCTGGCTCAGGGCCAAGGTTCCATTTTTTGCAGACATCTAGAATATATTACCCAGATTCTGTACTTAAATTTTCTTACCTCTGTTGCCAAGCATATGTTTGAGTTTATAATTCCTGTTGCCAAGACTGTTTTCCTGTATTTGAGATCTGTCACTCTTGCCTCCAGTATCTGCCCACTCTTACAAGCCTAGCCAAGTATCTATCTGCCTCTGACCTCCTACTTAGCTCTACATTTATATCTTGGTATATGCTTGTTTTGGGGTGCTTGCTAGATTTAAACAACTCTATTTCAGTTGTCAGAGTTGGGTATTCCAGGGCTCAGTTTTTAGACCTTTTTTCTATCTGTGCTCACTCCTTTGTTACTATCATCTGTTCTTTTGGCTTTTCTCTCTTCGCTGACAACTCCAAAATTTATACCACCAGCCCATAGTTCTCTTGTGAATTCCAGACTCATGTATCTAACTGCCTACTTTGACATCTCCACTTAGATGTCAAACACATTGAGATTCTCTGAACATGTCTGAAACCAAACACCTGATCTCTCCTGACATGGCCTGTATTAGTTTCTTATTGCTGTTGAAACAAATTACCACAAATTCAGTGGGTTAAAATAACACAATTTTATCATCTTACAGTTTTGTAGGTGAGAAGCCCAACAGGGATGTCATTAGACTAAAACTGAAATGATAGCAGGACTGAGTTCCTTCCTGGAGGCTGTAGGAAAGAATCTAGTTCCTTGTCTTTTTCAGATTCTTGAGGTTACTCATATTCCTCAGTTTGTGGCCTTTTCCTCCATCTTCAAAGCCAATAACATGGCACCTCTCTCTAACCCTGCTTCATCTATGTCTCTTTCACTCTCTCTTCCTCCCCCT